TGTGTCTATTTTTATATTAATTATCTTTCCACTATTTGTGAGTTAATCAGTTATAGTGTTGATTACTTAATTGGTTATAATCAATTTGTATTAATCCCATTACTGTGGATTACTTATACTTTTATATAAAAAAAAAAAAAAAATCTTTCTGTAAAAATTTTTTTTTTCCTCCAACGTGATAGCCAATCTACCTCTGTGTCATGCTTGTGCACATGGATCTAAATTGGCCTGAGCCATACACATTGGAGTGAGTTAGGTTTTTGTTTTTTGATTAAAATCATGAGTTAGGTATTTATATAGTCATAGGGGTAAAGTGCAATTCAAGTCATGGTTCATCGGGATTTAGTGCAGTGACCCAACGATTAATTCCACTCATGGAACCCGTGACCTTCCAGCCTTTGGAGTAGGATAACATTTTGTTCTAATTTTTTTTTTTTGTACAAAAACCAAAAATAAAAAAATTAACAAATGGAGTTTTGGAACTTCAAATTCTCAACACTTCTTCCTCTAACCATATTAACCACTTGAATAGTATCAAAATTAAGGACATGTTAGTTGAGAAAATGTACAATATATTGAAGGTTGAAGAAAAGAATTTTATCGATTATGTCCTCATGTGAATGATCTAATCTGAATTTGTTTAATTTAGAAGCTAACGTTATAGAGCTCATAGGGCTAAAAAGTGATATTCAAATTGAGCTCGGTTTGGTTAAAATTTGTTTAATCTTTGCTTCATCAACTAATCAAATAGTCATGAACAACAGTCAAATAGTCATAAACATTTACTGTCCAGTTCTAATTAATTTTTGCTATAAAAAAAATTTTTTCTATAAAAAGTACTATTTAAGATATTTTTCGTGATTGAATAGGGTTGAATACAATTGGAAGAAAGAACCAAAATGGAGCTGAAATTAGGAGAAAATTCAAAGTTTAAAGAAGCAGTAGACAATAAGCACTGGATTTGAAGCTAAACTTGGAGCTAGACATCTATGGGAAACACGTTTTCTTTTATATTAAGTTACTTGTTCTCCTCCAACTCAAACCCTATGACTCTCTAGTATCTATATAAGGAGACCTACGTACAAACAACTTTTGAAGAAACAAAAGATGGAGATTTCTACATTTCTCGTAGCTTTACAATCTTAGGAATAGATTAGAGGAGTTTATCAAAATGAAGGATTTGTGTTTTAGCTATAAATGTCTCACATTTTCTCAATTATTCTTGGAGATTATTATTATTGAGGAAGAAACTCTCAATTATGTGTAGCTAATTTGATATTCAACTCAAGGATTGAAGTCCTAGTTCCATTAATTGTGAAATCGGATTTCATATTTTCAATCTTTCTATTAACTATTTATGTCTCCTTGATTTAACTGCTATTGTTGATGCATTTATGATGAACTAAGTAGTACATTATTTTCTTTATATGTATTTTCACATTAAAGTACTGATTTTATTTTTGAGCTGTACTTGTCTTAAATTGGAGTCACAGTGGCAACTAATGCTAATAACTTATTGTATCCTTTTGTGATATCTTAGGGGGCAATGGTGTTGATTTAATAATTTGGGCACCACAAATTATTGTTATCTTTGGTTGATTTTTGGTTCTTAAATCTACCATTACATTAATTGAATTATGTCAATACTTGATTTGTTTATTGACAAAAATAAAATTGGGTCATTATTTTAATCATTGATGAAGATGCTCACCTCGGCCAGCACCGCCTGGCCGAGGTGAACCCTGCTCCTGTCCACTCAAGCACGGTCAAGTCCCACAAATGACCCCTGAAGTCGACCAAGGCTTTTGGGCGACCTCCTTGGATGACCTCTAGGGACCACCACCTCGTCCCTTATCAGAACTCATCCGTGTCTTGAACATAACCCCTGTGCTCGGCCGGATCCCTAGTCTATCGTGTGGGTGACCTCGGCACCCCCACCTCGGCCGCACGCTGATGATGTCAGACCACCTGACATCACCCGGGACCAGTGCTTTATCTGAAAAGCACTGGAGGCACTTAATGGCACCTGCCCAACACGCTCCGTCATCATACCCAGAAGGCTACAGTGTCAGGGTCAGACCTCCTGACAGGGGACAGAGCCGTAATGCCAGAGAGTGGGTCCCACCAGCATGGACTTTCCGTCCTGTCCTTTACTCTCCTATAAATACCCCACACACACTCCCAACAAGTAAGCATACACACTCCCAACAAGTAAGCATACACTGTTCATTGACTCGTATTCTTATTATTCTCGTTCTCATACTAACTTGATCGTCGGAGTGATCCCAGGGGAGAAGCCCCGCCACTCACTTCAGCTCGGTAGGTTCACTTCGGACCTATCACACCACCTCAGGGAAGGCTGATTCAGGTCGGCTCAGCTACCAACCAAAAATCCCCTCTTCAATTGGCGCCGTCTGTGGGAAACGAGACTTGCTAAGATGAGATCCACGCGCTCTAGAAGCGGAAGAGTTCCCTCCACCGGGGCTGGGCAGACCTCGGGAGCCCAGCAAGATCGCATTTCTGAAGAGCAAGGGTCCCAAAGGACCCAGCCCAACAAGGAGGACGCCATCGCCAAGATGGCCGAGTTCGTATCAGACAACCCCAACATTTTTGAGGAGCTGGGAAGATACCTCAAGAGACAGGGGAAAGAAAAGGCCGAGTCTTCCAAGAGGAGGCCGACGAAATCTCCTGAAACGCCCTCAGGTGAGGACTCTGATGAGGGGCGTCTCTCTCGGAGTACCTCTAGGCGCGCCTCTTCCAAGGCAACCTCTAAACTTGCCTCCATCTCCCGGCGTTTTCTCGGGGACTGCTAGGGAAACGTGCCGAGGACCCGCCTCGGCGCCCCGGGGGCCTAGCTTCTGACTACATGAGGGCTCCGCCCTTCACCGATGACATCAATGGGGAGATGGTGCCCCCGAACTTCAAGCTTCCAAACTTGCACACTTATGACGGCCGAGGTGACCCCGAGGATCACCTCCGCGCCTTCATCTCCGCTTTCCGCCTCTACTGCGTCCCAAACACCGTGATTTGTCGGGTTTTCCCCATCTTCTTACATGGGGACTGCCCGAAAGTGGTTCTGGAGTTTAGAACCAGGGAGCATTTCCTCCCTGGATGAGCTGATAGACCGGTTCATCCACCGCTTTGTGTCGTCTCGACCAATAACGAAAACTTCAGCTTACCTCTTGAACCTGCAACAGGATCAGGGCGAGTCACTTCGCTCATACGCCCAGAGGTTCAACGAGGAGAATGTACAGATACCTGATCAGAACGAGCAGGTAACTATTGCTGCCTTCACCAACGGGTTAGTAGCTGGGATCTTCAACACCGAAATCCATCGGGAATACCCCCGTACACTTCGGGAACTTTGGGAATGAGTGGACCAGGGAATCCGAAGTGAAGATGTAAACCGCATGAAGCGAGAAGCCCAAGCATCTCGTACGGGGCAAGATCCCCGGAGAAGGAAAGACACCGACCGAAGTGAACCAGGCCCAAGTGGCACCTCAACCCAACTTCGAGACCGCCGGAGTGTCTTCGACCGGATCGTGAAGGGAAGGTCGTCCACCTCGGACGCCGAGTTGACCCCGCTCAATTCAAGCCGGTCTCATGTTTTGGCGGTGATGAGGCAAAACCACCTCGGCCGAACACCTCCTGAGATTCCGGGGAGGAGGGATAGGAGAAACTTCAACCTCTATTGTGCCTACCACCGAGACGTTGGGCACGAGACCGAAGACTGCAACGATCTGAAGCGAGAGATCGAAAACCTGATTCGGCAAGGACACTTAAAACAATTTGTCCGCGAAGATGGAGGCTTCAACCGAAGCGTCTCCCACCGGGAGAGCCAAGGTCCACGCCGAGAAGACAGGCGGGACACGAAACTTCAATGCCGAGGTCCCGAGGACCATAACGAAGGAAAGAGGCCTCCACGCGACGGATCACCAGGCTACGGCCCAAACATCGCCGGGGTGATCAACACAATCGCGGGTGGCCCAACGGGAGGAGACAACCAGAACTCCCGAAAAAGGACTTACCGCCAGGCCGGCATGGAAGCGGCCGAGCCGAGCTCCCGGCTATCTGATGTGATCACCTACGGTCCCAGTGACCCCGTCCCCGCCGCTTCCAGCAATCACGAGGCCCTCGTGATTGAGGTCCTCACTAATAATTACATCGTCAAAAAGGTCTACGTTGACCCCGGAAGCTCGGTAAACGTCCTGTACTACCGAACTTTCGAGAGTTTGAAGCTGATCCGGGAACAACTCACTCCAGTCAGAACTCCCCTTGTCTGCTTCGGGGGACATGTCGTCCACCCGGAGGGTATGGTGACCTTGATGGTGACCATTGGGCGCCATCCCCGCTGCCGAACCGTGCCTGTCAGCTTTGCGGTGGTCAAAGCAGATTCTCCTTACAACATGCTGATAGGCCGGCCCACGCTCAATGCCTTGAGAGCTGTGTATTCAACATACCACTTGAGCTTTAAATTCCCAACACCTGCAGGGGTGGCCGAGGTGAGCAGCGACGTGGGCGCCGCCCGGGAGTGCTACATCGCCACCATTCAAGCAGCAGTCGCACCTCGACCCTTGCCGAGGTCAGAAGATAAGAGGCCCGCGGTCCTCTCCATAGACTGCATCGACCCTCACAAGGCAGGAAAGCCCAGCAGGCTTGAGTCAGGGGATGAAGTGGAACAAGTGGTCTTGGATGAGGCGAGACCTGACCAAGTGGTCCAAGTAGGGGCCGAACTCCCCTTACCCCTGAAGGAAGAAATGATCTCCCTGATCAAGGGCCACCGAGACATCTTCGCGTGGTCCGCCGATGAAGTGGTGGGAGTGCCACCCGAGCTCATGATTCATCAACTTAACGTCAACCCATAGGCACGACCTGTGCGGCAGAAACGGAGGCACTTCGGCCCCGAGCGTAGCAAGGCCATATCGGATGAGGTCGATAAACTCTTGCAGGCCAAGATGATCCATGAGGTCCAATATCCCACCTGGCTATCCAACCCAGTCATGGTCAAAAAGGACATCGGTGGGTGGAGAATGTGTGTAGACTTCACCGACCTCAACAAGCCCTGCCCCAAAGATTGCTATCCTCTGCCGAGGATAGACGCCCTAATCGACTCGGCGATGGGGTATGAGATCCTCTGCTTCCTAGACGCCTTCAAAGGGTATCATCAGATAGGAATGAGTGAAGAGGATCAAGAGAAGACGGCGTTCTACACCGACCAAGGTGTTTATTGCTACACTACCATGCCATTTGGGCTAAAGAACGCCGGGGCAACCTACCAGAGGTTGATCAACCGCCTCTTCAGAAACCAGCTCGGCCGTAATGTGGAGGCCTACGTGGACGACATCCTTGTCAAGAGCCAGGCCACTTCGACCTTTCTGTCCGATGTGAAGGAAGTCTTCGGCGTCCTGCGGGACTCAAGAATGAAGTTGAATCCCAAGAAGTGCGTCTTCGGCGTCATTTCGGGAAAATTCTTGGGGTTTCTGGTTTCCCACCGGGGAATCGAGGCCAACCCCGACAAGGTCAGGGCCATTCAGGACATGTCCCCACCTCGGAACATCCGAGAGGTCCAAAGGTTGAATGGACGCCTGGCCGCGCTGAATCGCTTCCTGTCCCAATCCGCCGAGAAAGCTCTGCCCTTCTTTAAGGTGCTGAAAAAGACTGACCAGTTTGCCTGGACTGAGGAGTGTCAGGCTGCTTTCGACCAGCTGAAACAGTACTTGCATCATCTACCCACCATTGCTTCACCTCGGCCCGAGGAGAAGCTCTTCCTCTATCTCTCCGCAGCCGACGAGGCTGTCAGCGCCATGCTCATCCGAGATGAGGGCACCCAAGTGCCGGTTTACTACGTCAGCCGAGCTCTCCGCGGGCCGGAGACCCGATACACTCAAGTGGAAAAACTTGTGCTGGGACTAGTCCACGCAGCTCGGCGATTGAAGCCCTACTTTTTAGCTCATCCCATCTCCGTCAGGACCGACCAGCCCATTCGGCAGATATTGGTGCGACCTGAAGCTTCTGGTCGCCTCACCAAGTGGGCTATCGAATTAGGGGAGTATGACTTGTCATACGAGCCACGCACCGCCATAAAAGCTCAAGCTTTAGCTGACTTCCTTGCTGAGCTCACCTTCACGGAAGGTCCGGAGTCCACCTCCGCCTTAGCCGAGGTGTCCACCCCATCCCTGTGGACATTGTATGTAGATGGATCCTCTAATGGAGACGGCAGCGGAGCTGGACTACTCCTAGAAGGGCCTCAGGGAGAAGTGTGCTCATACGCCCTCCGCTTTGGCTTCCCGGCCACCAATAATGAAGTCGAGTACGAGGCCTTGATTGCTGGACTCCAACTGGCCCGCAGGCTCGGTGCCCAACAAATCCACGTCCGCAGTGACTCCCAACTAGTTGTACGCCAAGTTCTTGGTGAATACGAGGCCAAGGAGAAGACCATGCAACGGTACCTCTCCAAAGTTCACCAACTCATCGCGTACTTCGAGTCTTTCGAAATCCAAAGAATACCCCGGTCCCAGAATAAGCGAGCCGACGCCTTATCCCGGCTGGCTTCCACTTCATTCTCTGACCTCAACAAGACAGTCTTGGTGGAAGTGCTGGATGAACCGGGATACGTGGAAGAGGTGGCCTGCCCCGTGCACTCCGAAGATACCTGGATGACCCCGTTCATCCTTTTCTTGGGTCAGGGAGCACTCCCTGAAGACCGAGCCGAGGCGAGAAGAATACAACGCAAGGCGGCTCAGTACGCTCTCCGCGATGGAGAGCTGTACAAACGCTCCTACCTCGACCCATGGCTGAGGTGTGTCACTCCCGAGGCCGGACGTCACGTCCTCCACGAGATCCACGAAGGCCTGTGCGGAGCTCACGTCGGCCACAGGATGTTAGCCAAGAAGACTATGCTCCTTGGATATTTCTGGCCATCACTTCGGCAAGACTCCCAGGACCTCATTCTCGGCTGTCCTTCCTGCCAAGTCCACGCACCCGAGCACCACTTGCCCTCAAACTTCATGGTTCCCATCACTTCACCCTGGCCGTTCGAACAATGGGGGACAGACATCATAGGTCCTTTCCCCAGAGCCGTCGGGGGTTATACCTTCCTGGTAACAGCCGTGGATTACTTCACCAATTGGGTTGAGGCCGAGCCTCTGAGGACCATCACCGGGCTGACCATTCAAAAATTCTTTTGGAAATGCATTATCTGCCGCTTCGGCATACCTCAGGTCATCATTTCGGATAATGGAAGGCAATTTACCGAGAACCCCTTTAAAGTCTGGTGTACAAACCTTGGCATCAAACAACACTTCACTTCGGTAGGCCACCTCCAAGCCAATGGTCAAGCAGAAAACTTCAATCGGACTCTCCTGCATGGTCTCAAGACCCGACTCCACCGAGTTGGGTCATCTTGGGTGGAAGAGCTTCCAAGTGTCCTGTGGTCTTACCGGACCACGCCGAGATCCGCCATGCAAGAGACCCCTTTCTCCTTGACCTACGGCGCCGAGGCCGTCATCCCTGCCGAGATCCTTACCCCCAGTCCCCGGCTGGCAGCCTATGCAGCCGAGGTGAACGATGAAGAGAGACAGCTGGATCTCGACCTCATCGAAGAATGAAGGGACCTCGCCTCAGCCCGGATAGCTTCATACAAGAACACACTGGCACACTATTACAATGCCCGTGTCAGACATCGTACATTCCATCCTGGAGACTTGGTTCTTAGAAAAAACTCAATCAGCCGAGCTGAACCGCAAGGGAAATTGTGCCCGAAATGGGAAGGCGCTTATCGAGTTGTGGAATCTGACCCTAAGGGGTATTGTAAACTGAGTTACCGAGATGGCTCATTAGTGTCGAGGTCTTGTCACGCCGAGAACCTCAAGTTATATTATGCTTGAATTCTTAATGAAGTTATGACTTCGGATGTTATGTTATTTTTCAACATCGGTATTACGCTATTCAAAAAATAAGGGGGACAAGCAAGGGACGAAGTCAAAGCAAGAAATTAAAAATGCTGAGATGAGAAGAAATAAGTTTTCATTCAACACAAAAGAGGTGTTACAAAAAATACAAGGCCGAGGTCGGAATGCTACTAAACATTCTCCACCTCGTCCACCCCTTTAAGGCCTACGAGCCTAGACCCCCGTCTCGGCTCCATCCCCGGTCTTGACTCCCTCCTGTGCAGCCTTCTCGCCGGTCTCTTCCCCGCTGGGGTGAAGCTCATCTCCTCCAGGCACTTCGTCACCTGTGCGCCGAAGTCTTCCTCAGGGTTCTCCTCCCCGCTTTCCTCGAGCACTTCGTCGAGTTCGGACAGCCACTTGTTGAACTCGTTTTGGACTTCGGCCAAATTCCTTCCTGCCTGAATGCCTTCGGCCATCCGATCACATAACTTCTTGGAGTCCTCATTGTAGCTGGCATGGTTTTTCAAAGACTCCAAGGCTTCGGAGGAGAGGTGAGCTGCGGCCTCGTCAATGGCCGAAGTGAAGCCAAACATGAAGTTAGGCGTAAGTAGTTGGCCGAGGTCCTTGATGAAGGCCTCAAACTTCCGGAAAGCCTCGGACTTCCGGAAAGCCTCCACGGCCGAGGCTCCAACACTCTCGAGAGCCTGTTCATGGGACTTCTTCACCTCGTCCCTCCTCTTTTCCTCCTCCTCGAGGGCCGACCTGAGACTATTCATTGTAGCCTCGGCCTCTTCGCCCTTAGCCTCGGCTTCCTGAAGTCGCCTCTGAAGCTCCAATTTCTCGGATTCGGACACCGCCAGTTTTTTCTCCAACTTAGAGAGCTGATTCTGCAACTTGCCGGTGTCCTGCTCCTCTACCAGAGCACAGTACCGGTGTGTCATCTCGGCCACAAAGGCCGAGGTGGAAGCTGTGGACACCATGAGGCCCTGGACCATCTCAGTCGGGGACAGCTTCTTCATGAACTCCAAGTCCCTTCAACTGACATGCCCACGTGTCACGCCCCCGCGTCTTCCGGAGCCCTGTACAGGACCCCGATCCTGAATGATTTCGGCACCAGGAAGCCTCGGCACCTCGTAATCCCCCGAGCTCCCGAGGCTTGGGGGGGCTTATTGAAGATGCTCACCTCGGGCAGCACCGCCTGGCCGAGGTGAACCCTGCTCCCGTCCACTCAAGCACGGTCAAGTCCCACAAATGACCCCTGAAGTCGACCAAGGCTTTTGGGCGACCTCCTTGGATGACCTCTAGGGACCACCACCTCGTCCCTTATCAGAGCTCATCCGTGTCTTGAGTATAACCCCTGTGCTCGGCCGGATCCCTAGTCTATCGTGTGGGTGACCTCGGCACCCCCACCTTGGCCGCACGCTGATGATGTCAGGCCACCTGACATTACCCGGGACCAGTGCTTTATCTGAAAAGCACTTGAGGCACTTAATGGCACCTGCCCAACACGCTCCGTCATCATACCCAGAAGGCTACAGTGTCAGGGTCAGACCTCCTGACAGGGGACAGAGCCGTAATGCCAGAGAGTGGGTCTGTAAGTGCCCGGTGCAACCCAATGAGTACAAACAAATTCACAATGATGCACAAAGATATATCAAATTTAAGCACAATAAAGAAAACTTAATTAAAGAGAAAAGATAAGAAATGCAAACAAAATATCAATCCAATAGCCTCTTCAATTGATGGCGATGCTAACCAAGATGTACAAGTGAAGGTTCACTCCTTCCTCACCCCAAATACTCTTTGGTTGAGCCAAGGAGTTTTACAACAATTCTAGTTAACCCTCAACAACCTACACTTGAAAGATCACTCACCCAATTAAGAACTATTTTATACAAATGAGGCAACCTTCACCAAGGTTTTACCACTCCAAGTGATAGGTTCACCTTCACCAAGGTTTTCACTTGAGCAACCTCACAACCCAACTTTCCCAACCCCTTATACAACCAACAAAGAATCTTTCTACTCAAAAATCTCACTTGTAAGCTTGTATTTTGTGTTGGCAAAAGTCTCTAGTCTTCTTGTGCTTTGGGGTTTTTATAGAAGGTGAGAAATGGCTCCAAAAGACTCTCCAACGGTCAAATATTAATTGCTGTCAAAACTAGCCGTTGGCCTGTCGGACGTCCGACAGGTGCCTGTCAGACGTCCGAACCACCTGTCGGACGTCCGAACCCTGCGTCCGAACGTAGGCAGAGAGTCATCAAATCTTTGCGAAATTTCTCGGACGTCCGATGCGATCGATGTGCGTCCGACAGGACGTCCGATGCTTCCTTCTTTTCTTCTTGATGTTCTTCATCCTTTCGGACGTCCGATAGTTTCCTTTTGGCCGTCCGACATGAGTGACCTGATTTTGCTTCTTCATTTGGTTGGTTTTCTTTCCTTGACACCATTGAACCTGATTCTAACAAATTTCTCACATAAAAACATTAGACCAAATCTACATTTTGGTTTGTTAATCATCAAAACCAAGGATTGATCGACCAAGGTCAACAATCTCCCCCTTTTTGATGATGACAAACAAAATGAAGATTTCTTTTATCAAATAAGTTCAAATAAAGCTCCCCCTTAGAAAGTGCCAACATGCAAAGAAATTTCAATAAATCCTACTCCCCCTTTTGGCATCAATCAAAAAGCAAACTCCCCCTTTATTTTTCAAGTCAATACCATAATAGGGTCCTTGGGAGTTATTATAACATGATCTAGCAATCCACATGGATTTCATACCTTTTCTCATATTTTTCTTTACATAGCAATCATTTTGCATGTGTCCAAATTGGCAACAAAAGTGACACATGATAGAAGTATTTTGCACATAAGTGGATTTAATGCAACTAATTTTCTTAGCAAACTTATTTGTGCCTTGAAAAGATTTGCTTTCTTTTGTTTGAGAAAACTTTTGTTTTTCATTTTGGAGAACCTCGTTCAAGTCATTAATTCTTTTCTTTAACAAATTTTGTTCCTCCAACATTTTTTCATAAAACTTTGTTTTCTCTTCCAACTTCCTTTTCAAATTATTTTTGCAATCAAAAACACCTTTTTGATTTTTTAAATCATCATTTTCCATTCTCAAACATTTGTTTTCTTGAAAAAGTTTGGAGTTTTCTTCCAACAAATCATTTATTTTTGTTTTCAAATCTTTATTTTTAGCATAAGATTTTTTCAAACTTTTATGCATTTTAATCATAAGAGTTTTCACATCATCATCTTCATTATCTTCATCACAAGAAGAGTGATAAGAACTTACCTCATCTTCTCCAACGGCCATTAGTGCCATTTGGGCCAACTCTTCTTTTTCTCTTTTTGAATTGCATTCATCCCATGTAATTTTGCAATCTCCTCTTGAACATCTCTTGTTGAAGATCTTCTTGAAACTTTTGATGTGAGGAGATATATCATTGTCCACTTCCATGATTTCATTACCCATGAAGGATGGGTTATCCCCCACTTGAGATGCTTTAAAAGCTATGCCTCTCTTATACATTCTTGCATTTTCTTCCTCTTGCACTTTGAATTCCAGCTTTAATTCATAAGAGGTTAGGGTATCCACAAGAGATTCAATGGACATAGAATTTAAATCCTTTGCCTCTTCTATAGCATTTATTTTGTTTTCCCATTCTTTTGGCAAGGCATTCAAAATCTTTCTATTTTTCTCACCCAAAGAATATTCTTTTCCAAGCAATTTAAGATCTTCAATAATGTCACAAAATCTACTACACATCTTATCAACATTTTCAAGAGGATGCATTTTGAAAAATTCATATTGAGAAACAAGTAAAGATTTCTTTTGTTCTTTAATATCTTGATTACCTTCATGAAATACACACAATTTATCCCAAATATCTTTAGCTGATTTACAACCTTTAATCCTACTAGATTCATTTACATCTAATGCATTGTACAATATACACATGGCCTTGGCATTCAAAGAAAGGTATCTCTTGTCTTTTTCATTCAATTCTTGTCTAGTCTTTAATCTACTTAAATTGGTGATAGAGTCAACTATTCTAGCTTCATAAGGACCATCTTCTACCACATACCATAATTCAATGTAAACAGATTGTAAGAAAATCATCATTCTTTGTTTCCACATGCTAAAATGAGAACCATTAAACATAGGTGGTCTATCAATAGATTGCCCTTCTAAAAAAGAAACTTTTATGGTTGCCATGATCTTTACTCTAAGCGGTTAAGCTTGATCAAAAGAGACCAAGCTCTGATACCAATTGTAAGAGCCCGGTGCAACCCAATGAGTACAAACAATTTCACAATGATGCACAAAAATATATCAAATTTAAGCACAATAAAGAAAACTTAATTAAAGAGAAAAGATAAGAAATGCAAACCAAATATCAATCCAATAGTCTCTTCAATTGATGGCGATGCTAACCAAGATGTACAAGTGAAGGCTTACTCCTTCCTCACCCCAAACACACTTTGGTTGAGCCAAGAAGTTTTACAACAATTCTAGTTAACCCTCAACAACCTACACTTGAAAGATCACTCACCCAATTAAGAACTATTTTATACAAATGAGGCAACCTTCACCAAGGTTTTACCACTCCAAGTGATTGGTTCACCTACACCAAGGTTTTACTACTCCAAGAGAGTAACCTTCACTTGAGCAACCTCACAACCCAACTTCCCCAACCCCTTATACA